ACTGATGCACCACTCACACACACACTGATGCACCAATCACCCACACACACTGATGCAGCACTCACACACACACTGATGCACCACTCACACACACACTGATGCACCACTCACACACACACTGATGCACCACTCACTCACACACTGATGCAGCACTCACACACACACTGATGCACCACTCACACACACACACTGATGCAGCACTCACACACACACTGATGCACCACTCACACACACACTGATGCACCACTCACACACACACTGATGCACCACTCACACACACACACTGATGCACCACTCACATCACACACTGATGCAGCACTCACACACACACTGATGCACCACTCACACACACACTGATGCACCACTCACACGCACACTGATGCACCACTCACACACACACACTGATGCACCACTCACACACACACTGATGCACCACTCACACACACACACTGATGCACCACTCACTCACACACTGATGCACCACTCACACACACACTGATGCAGCAGTCACACACACACTGATGCAGCACGCACACACACACTGATGCACCACTCACACACACACTGATGCACCACTCACTCACACACTGATGCAGCACTCACACACACACTGATGCACCACTCACACACACACTGATGCAGCACTCACACACACACTGATGCACCACTCACACACACACTGATGCACCACTCACACACACACTGATGCACCACTCACTCACACACTGATGCACCACTCACACACACACTGATGCAGCAGTCACACACACACTGATGCAGCACGCACACACACACTGATGCACCACTCACACACACACTGATGCACCACTCACTCACACACTGATGCAGCACTCACACACACACTGATGCACCACTCACACACACACACTGATGCAGCACTCACACACACACTGATGCACCACTCACACACACACTGATGCACCACTCACACACACACTGATGCACCACTCACACACACACACTGATGCACCACTCACTCACACACTGATGCAGCACTCACACACACACTGATGCACCACTCACACACACACTGATGCACCACTCACACACACACTGATGCACCACTCACACACACACACTGATGCACCACTCACACACTTATGCACCACTCACTCACACACTGATGCACCACTCACACGCTCACTGATGCACCACTCACACACTCACTGATGCACCACTCACACACACACTGATGCACCACTCACACACACACTGATGCAGCAGTCACGTATGCAGTCACGCATGCAGTCACGCACACGGATGCACGAGCCTCGCGCACGCAGGCCCGCGCTGCTGGGCCGCTCGCACCGGCTCATACATAATGCATCGTTTAAAAGCTTTCTACCAGGACGGCCGTGGCTGCTCCTCTATATTTAGAATGGCATCACCCCCGAAAAATCAATGATTCAATGCCCCCAGGTCACACACCAACTCCCGCGGACGGCTCCTTTGTTCTCGGGCTTTTTCTCTCTCTCTCTCTCCTAATGGCGTTTCTTGTAAAGGTGAACGCTTCTCAAGCCCAGGAGCGGCACTTTCTCCCTCCAGCGTCGGCCGCAGCGGCTCGCGCAACGTGGTGGGGGGGTGGGGGGCGAGCGACGGGCAGGACGGGGCAAATTCCGGCCGCGACGCGGTTGTTTGCCATCTTAACTGAGGCACGTGCGTGCGTGCGTTCCGCCCGGCGAATTTCGCCTGTCAATTGGATTCGCAGTTCAGACAGCTGAGATGGCACCTGCAGAGATTCTGGGTCCCGGAGCCAGAATCTCTCCAACAACCACACAAAACCATCCGTCACAGTAAATTTGGTTCTGCTCCCAATTTGGCTAAATTCCAGCTATGAGAATAACACAACATCGGTTTGATTGTCCTCTGACGAGCATTGCTCTCATATGTTGCTGCCCCCAATGCCACCGAGAGCGTGATTAGAGTAAAACAGTTTGAATAAAAACGTACACACCCTTCTCTTCGGAAAAGAAGGCTCAAAAGCTTTTTTGCGACGGCAAGATTGTTGTTTTCAGGCGGAATAGTTCAAGACGCGGGCGCGCCACCGCCGCTACGCGTGTGGCACGAGACGTGCGTGGCACGACGCCCGTGCCAAAACAGCTGGTCCCCACTTCTCACAGCCCCCGCCGGGCGGTGGGCAGCACGCGCCACACGCACGACTGTTGCGCGGGGATTAGCGCGCGTTTAAAATTGGTGGGGCGCTCTCGTTGCCTCTGTGGCTTCTTCGCCTTCTCCCGGGAGACCGCCTCTGACGCTAAAATTAATGTACGCGCAACGTACCCCCTCTGGAATGTGGTTGCTAATTAAAATTCACGCAGCGACCTCCCAGGTATCGCTGGTTTCGGTGAGGTAACGTCAACTCCTGCGGAGCGGACCAAAGCGTCGACCGTCAGCGTTCTCCTAAACGTTTGTAATGAGGGGGGGGGGTGGTAGGGGGGGCATGGTAACTTTTGTTGAGATGCCATCATACGAACGAACCTGCAGCGCAAATTTGTGCTGCTATTCATGAATGGCCTGCTTGAAAAACGGCCAAACTGGTGAAAGTGTTGGCCAAGACTTCAGAGACCCACAGTAGCAGTGCTAAAACCACTCCTTGCTAACATGCACAAAGACATTTTAGCCCGATAGCTCCCCATCATAGCTTCGATGCTGATAATTAAATACTTCCGAAGGCAAACGCACGTGTCAAAGCGTTACATAAGCCATGCGCTTATGCACGGATCTTTCCTAGCTTGCCTTGATTATCGATTGCTGCCGTGAAAGGTGGCACACCTCATCATTCAAAGAACGGGCCACCGCTCCTGATGCTGGTGCCGTTCCAAGAGATTCTGGCCGTGATCACTGGCTCCCAAGCGAGCGGATATCTGAAGCCCAGCCTCCCACGTAGACGAGAGCTCTACCAATCTCTCATCACGTCGATCCTTCGACTGGCAGAAGCCATGCCCGCCCACCCCGACACCCCCCCCCCCTACACACAAAAACGCTCCGTGTCGGTCAATATTTACAGATCATCTGTGTACGCCAGGCTACGCTGGGCGCCCTGCCTTGCGCAGTAAAGGGCGCATTTACAGTGCAAGTCACACTTATCAATATTAAAATCCACGTCTGCGTGGCCATAAAAAAAAATGTATAAAATCAACAGGTGGAATGCGCGAGGCTCGCGCGCTCCCCATCAGCGCGAGGTGGCTGCTTAGCGCGTGCGTGCTCTGGCCACGTACAAGGGTCGGAGGAGAATGGTGCATGCGAACGGCCAGATGGCGGGGGATTAAGGATGAGAAGCAGATTAAATATTTTTAGATGCGTGACACAAACGGGCCGTGCATCTGGCCGGGCCCTGCTCACGTTCCTGTCATTTCTGAACACAGCACGCGTTTGTCCCCCCAGCAATAGCTCCGACCAGAATAGACGCACATGAAACAAGGCCCTTTCTATTTAGCGCGAGATAAACACGGACGGGCTGGCGGGAGGGACGGTGCTCTGGTTGACGGTGGGGGGTGTCGGGTAGGGGGGTCGGGTGGGGAGTGAGGGTGACCTCGTGCCTCGGCGTTGTAACGTCACAATGGGATGGAGCCGCCGTTATCGGCTCCACAATTCACGCACCGTCTTGGCCGGCGGGCACTCGGCGTTCATTCCACTCTTGTCACGCGACCGCCAGGCGAGGCCGAGCTCCCCCCCCACCCTTCCCCCCCTACCCACGGCAGCACCAGTCCCTGGACGGTGGTAACAACGCGCAGGGGGCCACTCTCTCGCTCGCGCCGCGCGGAGATTGCTCTCACGGAACCTGGGACCACCCCCCCACCACCGATTCCTCACCCCACTCCCCGCTTAGCTTTGTCTGCTCCAGCAAACACTGACACCTCCTCCTCCTCACGCTCGACGCCGAGGGCGGCCGGGGGCAATGTGTGTAGCTGCTTCCTCTCCTCTGCTGCCCCCTCCCGCACTCTGCCGCCAGCCGTCAATTTGACCACGCGCACCGACCCCCTTTCCCCTCGTTAACATTTCACGACGCTTACGTTTTTGTCTTTCCCTCGCCGCGCACAACGAATGGAGTTAATATCCTGGAGAACGGAATCAAATTTGTCCAGTGTCCCTCCCAAAAGATACATGTTTTTAAACTTACAAATGTGGATAAACTAGTTTTGTTTTACCAGTTAAGGCTCACTGAGCTGTATAGGGCTTTTCAGAAGCGACGTGGCCACAAATGAAAGCTCAACCAAGTGGCTTATCACGTGGAAATTTAGCGCAGCCAAATAGTCGAAACGTGTTTCTCAATGTGGAGGGAAAAACCAAAGGACCCGGAGAAAAATCCACGCGACCACGGGCAGAACATGCAAACTCCAGGTATACAGGATCGAACCCACGACCTCCTCCATACCAGGCGAGGTACTTGATATCTCGCCACCACGGCGCCCATAAAAAAATATACAAAAGAAATGCATTGAACGGTGCACTTCACGCTCCACCGTGAGCCTCTTCCCCCCACCACGACCATGGGCAGCCTCCTGTGCAGCGGCGCTTCCCAACACGCAGGTCGCGACCCCAGGAGGGTTATCCCATTGTCATTCCGAGGGTCCGTGACTCGGGCCAAGAATAGGGAGGCTCTGTTTAAATGCGGCCGGTTACCAGCGGCCGGTCACCACCACCCGGTCAAGGCTGTTGGCAACCCCCCTCCCGCCCCCAGCCAGCCCTCCCCCACCCCCCAAACGAGTGGCCACATAAACAAGGGACCTAAAAAAAGACAAAAGTCTTCAGAGTCGCCGGCTAAAATCGACGCGAAGAACACCAAACGCTCCCGTCGTGCCGCGTCGCCTGCCGACGGGTGCCAACGAACTCCTCGAGCGCTGCTCTCGGAAGCGCGAGGCCGAGCCCCGCGCAGCATGGGGGGAGAAGGGGGTGCGGGTGGACCTCCCCCGCTCCCCGCCGCCCCCCGCCACCACCAAAGACGCCGCTTGGTCGCCCTGCGCACGTGGCCTCCTTACCCGGGCCGGAGCACGCGGCGGCAGCGGCGGCGGTGGGCTGGCGGTGAGACGTCAGCTCCCCGACTTGCTCGCGTCCAGGCAAGCTGTCTGCAAACCGAGGAGACAGAGGCGGCCACGTGTGTGAGCGAGCTAGCGGCGCGGCGGACATAACGTGCGATAGCAAACGCGACGGCGCGCTGACCCCGCGGGCGTGGAAAACGCGTGGACCTCGCGGACGCGGCAAGGCGCAGGACGCTACAATCCCCCCCCCCCCAAGCGCCTGCTGTGTGTGTGCGCGGCACGGTCAAGAGTGTACATGCACACATCGTGGGGGCAAATAGAGGCACACATCCAAATCGGACACAAAATAAATGAAACACTGTCATTGCAAAACGCTTTCCGTCACCTACTGATAAAATTACCGCAGCCGTTTGCTCATAAACGTTTTACAAAGTGAGATAACCGAATTGTTTCTGGGAAACAGCTGCTCAGTCGGCGTGTGAAATCGGGCGCACGCACGCACGCAGCCTGGCTCTTGCAGAGCGTCTGGCTGCTGGCGAGCGGGTGTAAACACGAGCGCTTCACCTGCTTATCGGCCGCTCCAAGCGCCAGGTGTGGACTAAACAATGAGAACACGCTGCTCGTGGGCGCTGCCGACCATTAACATGCGGGGGCACCGCGCTTGAGGCTCATCGCACCGCGTCGCACCGCCTCGGCATGCGAGGCGAGACTTCCCGTGTGCGCCGCCCGCTCCGGGATGGGAAGAAAGGAAGAGTGTGAAAGCGAGCGAGCAGAGGGGAGGGGAGGGACGGAGGGAGGGAGAGCACGGGCAAGGGTAGGGAGGGAGAGTGCTGCTCATGATGAATCATGGGCTGCAGACAAAAGCTGCCCCTGGGAAAGGGGGAGCTAAAAATAGGCGCTGCGTGATGGGCAGCTGGGAGGAGGGGCGATGGCGGGGAGGAGCTTGCAGGGTGGCGACAGCGGTGCCGCTCCGCTCGCAGTCCAATGGGGAGGCGCGCGACCCAGCGGCCGTGGCTCCGTACACCTGACAGCTACTCAAAGCCGCTTCCGCGCCGTGCAATTTATTTATTGGCCACCGCCGTGTTTTGCATTTGAAAGAGAGGCACAGCGTGCTGTTCGCTCGCTCGCTCGCTTCGCCCCGCTCGGTTATGTCCACAGCTCGCCGCCGAATTAAATTTTCTCCGCTCGCGCATAAAGCCAAGAGGCGAAAAAGCAATCTGTAAATGGGCCGAAAACAAGCCACGGGCTCACAGCTGCCAAAGTACAGTGCGGACTGCGGGACATTACGCAAATGCGCCGTGAGAATTTACGGCGCGTCGTTTTTAAAGAAGTCAACGCGCCGGCCGGTCCTCGTGTTGGTGGCCGACCAAATGTTGAGGTGGACGTCGGTCACGTGACCGGGCAGCAATATTTCCAAAAGACTCGCGGCGGCAGGAATGCAAACCAACAGGAGCACAGTTTAACATCTCCCCCACACACACGGAGGTCCACGTCGACGGGCCTCTACCAAAACCTCGAAAAGGTCAAGACGGTGGAATGATTTGTTTCTATTGCTTGGGGACAACGTATCAAGGTGCCCCCATGAACGCTCGCAAAAGGAAAACGATGAATTCGGCCGTCAGACGGAGATCAGAGGCGCGCTCGATCCCACCCGCGCTCTTCAAAACGCAAAATAGCCAGCGACATAACAGGCAGCGTCACTGTCACTTACCCCCACGGGCGCCGCTATCAAACGCAGCCGCCGCCAGCGGCGGGATCTGACTCGGGGACACCGCAGGCAGCAGCAGAAGGCTCCCAGACGAGTGTGGGGCGAGTGAGTGTGGGGCGAGTGATTATGGGGCGAGTGTGAGGTGAGTGTGGGGCGAGTGTAGGGCGAGTTTGGGACGAGTGTGGGGAGAATGTGGTGTGTGTGCGGGGCGAGTGTGGGGCCAGCGTGGGACGAGCGAGTGTAAGATGAGCGAGTATGGGGCGTGTATGAGAAGAGTGTGGGGCGAGCGTGGGACGAGTGAGCGTGGGGCGAGTTTGGGACGATTGTGGGGAGAATGTGGGGCAAATGTGGGGCGAGGGTGGGATGAGAGCGGGGCGAGCGTGGCAAGTGAGCGCGGGGTGAGTGGCACGACTGACGGTAGAGCGCCGGGCCACAGATCGTCGCTGGCGCCAGCAGCACTCGCCTGGGTTCCGTGTTCCGGACTCGGATAGAATTCTTAGGATTCGGCGTTAATTCCTGACACTGTGTAGAACTGGAGCAAGGCTCAATCAGGATTCGCAGGGTTCCCTGAGGGGACGATCATTGGGACCGAATGAATCCTGACAAAAACAAGCCACCGCCCGCTGCACAGGCGTTGCGCCGATTTCCTCGCAGGTGACCCACGGCATCGATCGTATCGAAAGCTCCAACCGCACCGGGGTCCGAATACACTTCTCTGCACTCGTTAGCGGGCAGCTCATCTCGTCAGGCGGTGAGGGGTGGTGGGGGTGGGCGGTGGACACACCGAAGGCGTTTCATTTCCACTTAACCACCCCTCCCGCGCGTGCGGACGTACCAGCGGCAGGCCTCCGTAAGTTACAGCTCGATTACGAGTTCGTGCATCAACGCCGTGGCTTTTCATCATCTTCATCATCACAGCCCGGGCCAACGAAAATGCGATCGACCATCGATCAATCACCCGCGGCGAGAGAGGGGCGCGTGCGACGCTCGCTTCAATTACAAAATTGGCCCAGGCGGTAAACAGCAGCACTGCAAGCGGCGGCTCCCCCACCGGGGGCGGCGACCCCCGGCATTCACCGGGGGGCCGCAGGCAACGTGACGGCGAGCGTCACCGCAGCGAGTATCCACGGGACACAAGGCCCGCGAGTGCCCGGGCCGTGTTAAAATAGCGCACGAAGAGGAGTTCTAGGAATTTCCCCGTGTTTCCTCCACGTGCATGTGTGTGGGGGGAGAAGGGTGGGGGGCACAGATTACAGAGAAGCGAGGCAGGTGTGTGTGTGTGTGCGGCTAAGTGCCCCTCCCCACCACAGCTGTGGTCCAGCAACCGCCCCCCCTTTCTGCCACGAGCCCCCCCTATCAGCTCCCATCTGGAAGGTGTAGATTTGCGGGGGAGCTCGGGTTATGCCGATGGAGCGACGCACGTGGGGGTAAGGAAACCCGTCCGGGAGTCGTGCGCGCGCCCGCGCGTGCCTCTGGGGAACGTGGGCGAGTGCCTTCAAAACAACCCATCAAGTATCGAAACGCCGCCACCTTCTCTTCCTCCGCTTCTTCCTCCCGTGGCTCCCGGCCAGCCGAGAGCGCGCGTGGGCACGCTCTCGCCGCCCGCAGCATCTCAAAGCTCAAACGTCCACGGCAATGAAGATGAATAATGGCCAAGATCCAATTAAGTATAAAACACACGACTCCTTCCAGACTATGGGTTTTTGAATGTTTCATGAAATGCCGCATTTCGAAATTAACAACCTCCTTTGAAGTTTCGATGAAGCAGGCATATTAATAAAAATGTTAAGCAAAGTTTTCTGGCTGCCGGTAGTATATATTTTTCCGCTAAATAAAATATTGATGGAGCGAGGGACGAAATAATAAAAGCGGGGGGAAAAAAACTTGAAAAATGGGACTGGGTCCAGTTAGGAGCACCCCGCTGCCGTGTTTCAAGCGCTCGGGTGAAATTCTCACTTCATTGTTATTCCCTCGCAGGGTTTTTCCTGAAATTAGGCCAAGATGAGAGATTGCCACCGAACACTAACAGCCTGCGGCCTGCGTATCTGCTGCGAGTGGGGTGGGTAGCGAGGGAGGGGAAGCGTGCGGTTTTCTGGGAAAGCGACCGCCCGCTCCACGGCAACCCGGAGCGCCGTGGGTCGGCGGACCGGCCCGAACCGGGCCGACGTAGCGCCAACGACTCGGGCTGCGGTGAAAGGCCGACAGCGGCGCATGGGCGGGGTGAGAGGATGCTGCTAAGGTGCTGTCCTGGGCCTGACACGCCAGACTGCCAGGCCTCCACTTTGCCATGCCAGGCCACGGCTGCGTTGCACTAATAGATCGGTTCGCAGAGAATGGCTGACGTGCGAGCACACACATGGCCCAGCGAAAGGCAAGGCGGGGGGGGGGTGGTGGCAGCGCTACCTGTGGCTGCGTACAGGCCGCCGGCTGCCGGCGCATGGCTGTGTTGACGTTGGGCGCAACGAAGCCCCCGCGCGCGACTCGCTGGGATTTCTGACATTCCCACGCCGTGCCGCGCGTGCCGAGACAGCAACGCGATCTTACGGCACTGCCCGGGCAGACGGGCAACGTCGACGTGCGGAACAGCGCACCAAGACACCCGGCAGATAAGCTCATGGGGAAAATGAAAACCGACAACAAACGAGACGCTTGAACGGCACGCACGTGGTGCTCGGCAAGCTGGGGGGAGGCTGTGATAACAACATCATCATCATGAGCCAGGTTCGACTCACTGCTGGATGAAGGTCTCCCCGAGCTGTCACATTGTGATGAAGTGATGACGATCCAATTGCAAGCAGAGATCCCGAGCCTTTGATGCAAAGCGGCCGAAAAAAGAGAGTGGGCTGGAGTATAGTGGGGTTGAGTTGACAGGCATCTTGAACTGTGGGTTATGTTAGATCAAAAATGCAGAACCAGGAAGGGAGTTCCAAGCCCCAACTGTGCCCAGATAAAAAGCTGATAAATAATTTACAACCGGGAGAATGAACCCAAGTGAGAGAAAGACAATGACAATAAAATGTCACTTCTGAAATCAAGCACACACACAAAGCCTTAACAACGACGCTCTCCATTCATTTTGTGGGTGTACGATTAGTTCTCGCGGAACGCCTCTAACATTTAAGACGCGATGCGTGAAACACCGTCTTCTCACCTTCCAAATCAAGTCGCCAAAAACAGCCCACTGTGAGCGGAACCTTCTTACATTAGGCCTGGCAACCAACGGGCGCACCTTCGTCCCGTCCACCCGACTCTCAAATCATCGTCCACCAAGGGCGCAAGCGCCGCCATCTCGGCGCTTGCACGGTGGGCCGAGACGCACGCGGGCGGGCGCGCGGGAGCCGTTTCCCGGGGCCCCCTGCGTGCATTATCGCCGCGCTGC